AAATTGTATTTAGAAGAAGAAAAAGGTTTTTAGACACAAGACGACGCGAGCGGGGTCACCCGGTGTGGCTTACTCTTCAACACGTATTTTTGACCTTTTTATTTAAAGGATAGATAGAAAAGTGTTTAGCACCAAGAGACGGGAGCGAGGTACCGTGTGCTAACCTTCAAAAATATTTTTACCCATTTTTATAGGAAAGAATAAAGGGATTTTAGCACAAGGACGACGCGAGGCGGTACCACGTGTGCTTAACCTTCACAAAAATATTTTGTAATAATTTGTATACAGAGAGGAACCAGAGGGTTTTAGCACAAAGGACGACGCGAGTGGTCAAACGTGCTAAACCTTTAAAAAAATATTTTTTATTAGTATTATTTATTAACGTCTTTTTAGTTTGCCCGGTTAAAGTGCAGCAAATTAAACTCTACATAAAAATAAAAGACACGATCTAGGGTGGGGTTATATACAAGGGTTACATACAGTAAAAACTAACTACCAAAAACAAATACTAATAAAAATAAAGAAAACAAGCTAAAATGAACCAAGGGAAACCTAAACACAACAAAAATAGGGGGTAGAGATTAAAAACCAGAGGTTGGGTGCGGAGAAAGTTGAGACTCTTTAGTTTGGGACAAAATTTTTTTGCTCACTTTGTATCTGTCAGGGTGCAAGATTGGAAACTGGAGGCATCCGAAATAGGGTGACCGGCCAATCTGCTTTCTTCCGTTTTTTTTATTGGTTGCACAGAATGGGCTTAAACCTGAACGAAAATGGGAGTGTGAATGGAATTGTGCGTGGTGGCAAGGAGGAAAAGGACGCGGCCCCATAGCTAGTCCAACGACTCTTATTCAGAATCCTATTAGGGGTTGCTAACACCTTCTTCATTCGTCCATTTCCATTTGCCAACTAAGAACCAAATCTTCTTTCCAAGCCAGGAAACCTTCGATGAGGGGCATCGCCTCCGCACACACACGTCCGCCTCGCCATCGGCGCCGCCAGCCGCAAACCAGGACGCAACAGGCGCTGATAGCCTGCCAAAGACCCCCACTGGTTTGAAGCGCCAAGCTTCTTCGAACCAGGACCACGTGACAGCCTTCGTGGAGTGCTGGTCATCACGCGACACGCGGAGTCAGCGTCAGCCCAAACTCCCGGTCCGTCAGATTCCTTCTCTTCCGGTCTGGCGACTAGCCGTCCGTCGAGCTAACGCCGCTGCTCCCGGGACACGTTCTATCCGACATGACGAGGGGGGGGGGGGGGTACTGCCGTGGATGCAGGGATGGTTTCTGTGGCAAGTTGTTCTTGAAATGAGGATTAGAGCTGGCCCGTAGCTGAGCGTATTGGCGGAAGAAAGCAGTGGTGGCTCGAGAATAAATGATTAGGGGGGAAAGGCCTGTGCGGGTAGAACTTTAGAAGGGCGCCGACAATGGAGCGACTCACGGTGGCTGGCGAGGGATCGGTGGATGGAGTTTCGGAGTGGAGGCACGGCGGGAGCTCCCTATGTTTCTCGTGATGGGTTTTGTACTTGTGGGTTGGGGAAAGGAGGTGTGTTGTAATGGTGAATCGGAAGCACGGTAAGGGTATTATGACGTGAGTGATTCTTCTTGTTTTGCCATTGTGAAGAAGAGGAATGGTTTCTCTAGCGAAAAATAGAGGAGTGAGAGTTGTGAGTGTGGCCAATGATGCCTGAGGTGTGAGTGGGAATTGGAGGAACAGGAAGTGTGTTGGGATGGTACGGGTGAGAGTCAACGGTTGGATTTACGGATGTGTGAATGATGGTGTGATGGGAGCTTGTAGAAGGGGGATTGGAGATGATGCCGGTATTGGAGATTGATTCCCTTGGTATTAAGTGTTGGAGATGAAAAATGAAAGATGAAGGGGGTCAAGATGTGTGTTGGCTTGTGTGTGAGGGATAGGGATGAATAATGGATCCTCCAGATCTAATCTGGGAAGGTCTCCTGAAAAGGAAAAATCGTTGGGTGGTTACGGATGTCGTGTGGAGCAGAGGGGGTGGAGGCGCAGGTGCATGTGTCCGTGTGCGTGAGGGAGGAACCGTTTTTTCCTTTTCTTTTTTTTTTCTTTTTTTTTTTTTTGCTTTCTTCTTTTTTTTTTTTTGCTTTCTTTTTTAAAATATTTATATGGAAAATCAAATGAAATAAAACAAAATAAAATAATAATAAAATTCATAAAAAAACATAAAATAAAATAAGATGCAATAAAAAAAGAAAGACCTATATTATTTATTCATCCGGACGAAATTGGGTGTTGACACTTTATGGTAATCAAAATATGGAAAACAAGTCAAAGTGGGGTGATTTTTACGGATATTTAATAAAACAAAAACAAGACAAGGACCAAATTGATATCAAAATTAACTTATATTGAACATTTATCAATGATTAAACTAAAAAACCATGGCTACAAATAACCAAGTTCAATATGAAGGTAAATTGAATTTAGAAGCAAAACTTTTACTTTAAAAAAACAACAATTCAAACTTTTATTTGAAATAGTTTACATAAGAAAAGTTTTTTTAACAAGATTTTTAATCAAGGTCTTTAAGTTAATAAGTCAATTTTCTTTTTATTCAATGAACACATGTAATATAAACTAAAAAACAAGACAAACACAAAAATTACACCGGTTTACCTCTCAATAATGACTACATCTAGTTGCGTAATCACCCTAACCAAACAAATCCATTAAATCAAGTTTTTACATGAACTTTACAAGAAAAACAAGAAAAGTATAACAAACACTAGATATTAAACACTACAAGATCCTTACACAATTGTGAAACCCTATCACAAGTGAATCTTCATCGCCCTAATGAAAATAAAATTTGAAACAATATAACTCTTATTGTAAAAAAAAATAAAGAGTCTGACTAACAAAAATGCTAGATGTTCTTCACCGAACCAAAGACATGAGTAGAATAATGTTAGAATCTTAATCTTTAACAAAAAAACTCAAACAACTCCAAGAAACTATTTTCAACTCATTAAAATTAAACTTTGCATTTTTAAAAGTTTTTTTAGATTATTTGAAACCTTTTCATTATATTGAATCATTTGAAAAACAAAAACATTAAATTGGTATAATTGTTAGAAGTGGACTTTAAGCCTAACTCTTATAAACTATGAATTGGCCTTATCTCTAGTCGATGTGGGACTTCCAACACACCTCCCTCACGTCGAGGTATAGCGTGGAATTAGACATTTTTAATGGGTGGTCCGATAGCTGTCCGATAGTGGGTAGAACAATATGCCCAGCAAACAATAAATATCGCTAGGATAGACTCTAACCATGACTTTGATACTATGTTAGAAGTTAACTTTAAGCCTAACTCAACCCCACAAAACCGACTTATAAGGTGAGGTTTGCACCCACTTATAAACTATGAATTGACCTTATCTCTAGTCGATGTTCGACTTCCAACAATAATCAAATAATTGAGAACAAATTTAATTGATTAAAATAGAGTGAAAATAAGTTTCAAAAAAGCCAATTTAATGAGTCCAATCGTGTTTTAAAAGTTGAAATCACTGGCTTTGTTTTTTAATTTCCTCATTAATCTACATTTCAATTGGTTGAAACAGTCAAATTAATTTCATCACATTAGTTTGTTATGAATATAATTGAACAAGTTTATAGTGTGAGATTGTCTATCTCAAACAATATATAATAACAAAATTATCCGCAAACAAAATACAAAGAAAGAAAGTGTAAAAAAGATAAAAGATCACACATTAAAAATAATATGGTTTAATTTGATTATTAACCTACTTCAATCTAAGTCTATCATAAAATTCACTATAAATACAAATATTACAATCAAACGATTCCTCTTAGTAAAATCTCGTGATCTTAATAATTTGTAGCAACTTTAACTAAGTGATAGTTACATGTTAAAGATAAAATTCTTATTTATAGATAAAATTAATCTAAGTAACTTTAAACACATGCACATACGACAAATGTACAATGCCTCCCATGTTTGGTCAGAAGCAACAATAGAAGATGCTCACAACTGATTATAAACATAAGATATTTTGGTCTTATTAGATGTTATAAAATACTTGCTATTAAGGGTAAATAATGATAGATGGTCTAAAAACCTTTAAACACATTTTACTCAATCAATAGTCACACCTATAATTACGTATATGTGAGTAGTTGAATATTTTAAATGTGTTTGAAAAACTTTTCAAATGAAATACATGGTATACTTATATAAAAAGTAATTACATAAATGGTAACCTAACTCATTTGGAATATAACGTGAATCTTTTTGTTATGAAACTTTATAAGAATAAAATATTAAAACTTAATTAATAAACCATATAAATGAAAATATCATACAATAAAAAGATGACGTGTTAACATTTCCAATAATAAAAAGAAAATTATAAAAAATAGATATTAAAATTGATGATTCTGTTTATATGGGATAGATATATTAGCAGAGATATAAATAATCTCTTGAAAAATGTGAGTAAACATTAAATAAATGGTTTAATTGTTTCCTTTGTCCCCAGTTTGGTTGAATTGTGTCAAATTCATCCTCATTTTTAAAAAAGTTTCATTGTCGTCCTCACGTGGTGTAAAAGTTTCATTGTCGTCCTCACGTGGTGTAAAAGTGTCAATTGAATCCAAACATAGAAAAAATTTGTGTCAAAGTAGTCATTTTTCCTATATCTCTGTGTCTTCCTTTCATACAATCAAGTACAGATATTCATTTTACCTTATCCAATTTAAGGCTTTTCATAGCTCCAGAGAAGTGACATATGAAAGGAAGACACAGATATATAGGAAAAATGACTACTTTGACACAAATTTTTTCTATGTTTGGATTCAATTGACACTTTTATAGCACGTGAGGACGACAATGAAACTTTTTTAAAAATGAGGATGAATTTGACACAATTCAACCAAACTGGCGACAAAGGAAGCAATTAAACCTAAATAAATTGGTGTCACTTAAGAGTGCCACAGACAACATCGTCATCAGCAATAATCAAATAAATAAAACGGAGAGAAAAGAGACCCTTGCATTTCAGAAACAAGAAATTATTGATTCATCCATTCAGTCCCAAAAGCTATACAAAACCTCTACTCTCTCTCATTTTCTCTCTGTCACTCTGAATTTCAGCTCTTGCCCATTTGATCATACGCTCACTTCTTCTTTCCTTCATTTCTAAAACTTCACAACTCTCTGTACAATTCTGCATCCATGGTGAAGACTCCGTTTGAGGAATCGCTGTTGATCCCTCTCATAAGTAATCACCGCTTCCACATGCCTCTGCTACGATCTATAACGATCATAATCAATTCCATTCACCCAAAACTTGTTTACCATGTTTTATTTTCGGCTTCTCTGGATTCTTTTTTCTTTTTAATTTTTGTTGCTTTCCCCTTTTTTGGTTGCGTATCCAACAAGTGTACTTGTTCATTGGGTTACTTGTGATTCCCTGATCTGGGAAAGTCAACAAAAAAGGGATTTTTTTTTTAATTTCCGTATGGAAGAGGGTATTTGCAGTTTGATTCATTTTGATTGGGATGATCAACCTCTGATGCGATTATTTCAACTTTGATCACAAAATTCTTTCTTTTTTTAGTTTTCAGTTTTTGGTTGTATGATTGTAGAATATCCCATAATTTGGGAACAGTGTAACTCTCAAAGATTTCTTCTTTAGATTCCATCACTTTATTTGGATCCTCAATTTTGATCATATGGTTTCACCCTTAATCAATTATAAGATCGGTCAAATTTTTAGCATGTATTTAAGTTTTTTTTTTTTTGTTTTTGCTCTTTCTGATCATCCTCAGTTTCATGACTAAATTCTTGCCTTCTGGTGTCTTTGATTTATATAGTGCTGTTGTGAATAGAGACAGATAATCATGTAATTCAACTGCATCAGATAAAAAAAATTAAACTTTGTTTCACTTTTGTTAGTATTCTTTTCTTTGTAGGTTTGAGACCTGAGATTTGCTAGTCAAATACATTCTTGAGGTACATGCTTGTTACAAGTTAGAACAATGTGTAGAGTTTCAGATGCTATAACCTGACAAATGGAAATTAAATTAATATAGTAATGCATTTGCATGTATTTTCATAATTCCCAGAAGTGTTAGATCCTCTCTTCTGCCGTGTTTGGGCACTGTATAAGGTTGGCAGTGCCCATGGATGCCACTACCAGTGGAACCCCAACTATACAATACCATAACATCCCTGATCAGCCAATTAATACCATTGTTGCCACACAATTGCCTACATTTCAACGGCAGCTACGCCATTGCTTTGGGGACTCCAGTCCAGGAGAGTTTCCCTTGTCTGCTAATCCCTCCATTGTCCTTCATGTCCTTACATCATGTAGCTTGTGTCCTCAAGACCTTGCTAAACTTGAGGCAAGTGCAGTACTTATTTGCATTTCGCCTCTTAATTTGTTAACTGTAATTACTATTTCTGGTACTGCTTGTTTCATTTCTGATCTGGTATTTTGTAGGCAACATGCTCCTTCTTCAAGAAGCCGGCAAACTTTGCTCCGGATTTGGATTTGTCCTTGTCAGAGCTTGCTGCATTGGACATGTGCCAGAAAAGAGCCATTTTTAAGCCAATGACGACTGAACAACAGCAACATTTGAAGCAAAGATGTGGTGGTTCTTGGAAATTGGTTCTGAGGTTTTTAATGGCTGGAGAAGCATGTTGCAGAAGGGAGAAATCACAGGCCATAGCAGGTCCTGGTCATAGCATTGCTGTGACATCAAAAGGGGCTGTTTATTCATTTGGGTCCAATAGTTCAGGACAACTTGGGCATGGTACAACCGAAGAGGAATGGCATCCTCGACCAATCAGGTTGGAACATTAGTTATTGCATTCTACAGTTCTTGTTGAATTGGAGTTAACATAACTAGGTTATGCTGCAGAGCTTTACAAGGCATTCGGATTATACAAGCTACTGCTGCGACAGGGAGGACAATGTTGATCAGTGATTTTGGGCAGGTTTATGCCTTTGGGAAAGATTCTTTTGGTGAAGCTGAGATTGGAATTCAAGGATCTAAAATGGTTACGTCTCCTCAGTTAGTTGAATCTTTGAAAAACATATTTGTTGTACAAGCTGCAATTGGAAACTTTTTCACAGCCGTTTTGTCAAGGGAAGGCAGGGTTTATACATTTTCTTGGGGTAGTGATGGCAAACTCTGTCACCATACTGATCCAAATGATGTGGAACCTCGTCCTTTATTAGGAGCTTTAGAGCACATACCAGTAGTGCAGATAGCTGCCGGTTTCTGCTACCTCCTTTGTTTGGCTTGTCAACCAACTGGAATGTGAGCTTCAGCTTTTTTTTTTCTCCTTCTCTTAACTGTTGGATTTTTCCTTTGGTAAGAATAGAATTGAGAGTTATATTATGTATGCAAGTTGGGCACTCATTCATCATTTTTTTTTTCTACGCCTATTGCTAGAATTAAAAGAGAATATTTTGTATTATGATTTATCTCTCTAATGCCAACACACATACATCTCACATACTGTTTTATTTAATTGTCTACACGTATTTTCATCCTAAGTTCCCTACTTAATAAATTATATTTTACCTTTCCTTTCATTTTTATTGTAATAACTATCTGTGTGTGTGTGTGTTTATTGATTGATTATGTGATCTCCTTCTGAAATCTTAATAGGTCTGTCTACTCTGTTGGATGTGGTTTGGGTGGGAAGCTCGGCCATGGCTCAAAAACTGATGAGAAGTATCCTCGTTTGATCGAACAATTCCAAGTGTTAAACCTTCAGCCAAAGGTGGTTGCAGCTGGTGCTTGGCATGCAGCTGTGGTGGGGCAGGATGGCCGGATTTGCACATGGGGGTGGGGTCGTTGTGGCTGCTTGGGTCATGGTAATGAAGAATGTGAATCTGTACCTAAGGTGGTGGAAGAGTTGAGAGATGTTAAAGCAGTTCATGTTGCTACAGGAGATTACACCACCTTTGTAGTGGCTGATAATGGTGATGTGTATTCCTTTGGTTGTGGAGAATCTGCTAGTCTTGGCCATAACCCTGAGAATCATGAGCAGGTCTGCTTTGCTTCTGCCTTGCACTGTGTTTTCTTTGTGAATTGTTCTGGCTTGGTTCAAAGGAAGTCGACTTCCTTTTATTTTGTGCAATCATGATATGACAGTTGAAGATTCAAATCTGAATTACATTTTCTTGTAAATGCCTTGTATGAAAGTTTAACCTTATGTTTGTTCTTGTGCAGGGAGACATGCATGCAAATGTGTTAAGTCCAAAGCTTGTGACTTCAATGAAAGAGATGAATGAAAAGGTGGTGCAGATTAGTCTGACGAATTCCGTATATTGGAATGCTCATACCTTTGCCTTAACTGAATCAGGGAAGCTGTATGGCTTTGGGGCTGGAGACAAAGGACAACTAGGCGTAGAGCTTGGTGCCAACCAAACTGAAAGAGGAAAGCCAGAGCGGCTTGATATTGATCTTGGTTAACTATGTTTGGTTGGTGTAACCCTAATTCTTTACACCATCTCATACTCTCTAATTTATGCTCACCATGCACAGTATTTAGTGTTTCAATCCCTTGTTTATTGTGTAAATATAATCAAAGAATCCATGGATGATGTCCGAGCTAGGCAAGATAACAGGGGCCTCACCTGCAGCCACTTCTAAGGTCGTTGACGTTAATCTTATATAGGCTTCAACTAGATTCTGATATTTGAAAATGGTGAAGCTTCATATACAGCTCAGTTGTCTTCACTTTCTTGGTTATCCCATGATCATTTGCTTAGATGAAGTTGCTTACACTTACTAATTTCCGATTCTCTTCATATCACTCACTCTTTGTTTCATGATTGAATTTTATCTCCTATAAAATCAAGGCCTTACACAACTGCTAATACATAAAACTGGGCAAGATATTGAGGTAAGACTGAAGTGTTTGAAGAATTTTGTTGGTAGTGGGATGGAGAACATAAAATTTAAAGCTTGCTAAAATTAGGAAAAGAAAATATAGATCTGGATTAAGTGTCATCATGGATGATGAAACAAAAAAAAAAGTTATAGACCATGAACAAAATTTGGCTTATTATCATACATGGACTTCAGACGATGAAAATGGTAAATTTGCTGGTCTTATTTGTATTATAATGAAATTTGTGTCCCGCTTAGTTTTTTTAACGATATTGCTTAATCTAGTTTTGAATGTACTTACCAACGGATCAAAGAGAGTAATGCTCATCAACTTGAGCTTTGGAGTAAGACTTTGAAATCTAAGAATTTCCACTTAGAACATAATATGTGTATTATGTATTATAATTTGGACAATAAATAAGAGGAGAATTACTAAGAGGTTAGAATGGGAGATGTTGTCTTGGGAATTCTTTATATTTAATATATTGAGTTGTTTATAATAGGTTTTTTGAAAAAAAAAAAATAATGATAAAACATAAAAACAACTAATACAAATAATATGTTGTTTCTAATTCAAAACTTTAAAACAATGAGTTAATATATATTTATTATTATACCATGTTAAACTTTTTCATTCTTATTATTTAGACTCACATGATTATAACAACGTTTCTCATTAATGTTGGAGGTGTGGAATGAGATAAAACATGTGTTTAACCTTAATTAAACAAATTAAATAAATAACTATTTGAAATAAGAATGATGTAACTAAATTTGCTATTAGAAATATATTATAGGAATACAAGATAATTTTTATGTTTATGTTGCACACAATAGTGATGAAGGAACCATAAAAGATGCATAACTTGAGTTAAGTGACATACCAATAGTCTTATTAATTTGTCTTAATAATGTAATTTCCTTAAAATGTTTACATTTTAAAAAAAACTTTAACACAACAATAAATAATACATTTTTTTATACTAACAATTCATTTCCCCGTTTTTTTCACATTTTCATAAAAAAGAGTTTAATTAAAAATACACAAAAATAGGATAGAAAGTATTTTTTTTTCACATTTGTATTTAACTATATATTATTATACATAATAGCATCATTATGGTCATTATAAAAAACAACTATTTCAAAAATCCATTCCTAGTTTGTTTAAGTTTATTCGGAATGCAAAAGTAGTTGGTCAAAATTATTAATTTTTAAAATCTGATCCATTTCCTTAATTCCCATTGAGCAAATTAAATCAGAAATACATAGTAGTAGTAATGTTTATTTAAATCTATTCTTAGTTATACATAGAACCAGAGGATTAAATTTGAAAGCTATTTATAGAATCCAAAAAAGAAAAAAAGTTGGTAATTTATCAACTGCCAGCAAGGATTTGCCATCATTAAAACAAACAAAAAGAAATCTAAAAGGTTTGTCATCGAATTCCTTAACAAATTATAACGACCAACCATAGATTCCTAACCGTAAGCAGCGAAAAAACTGAACTGTACCGAAACTAACGGTTCTCCAGACACATGACAACCCTGTTTGGTTTCGTAGCCTATAAGATGAACCCTCTCTTCATTAGTTTTCCGTAACCACAACACATTATTATTACTAACAATCTTGAGTGCAGAGTTTCACTAATTCTCATCATTAAAGAAACACTGCACATCCAAGTTTATTAAGTATTTCTTTAAAATAATGGCACGTGCATGCCGTGTTGTGGTTATGGCCCTCCTCATGTTCGCCGTCATTGGCCTCGCATCCGCGGCGGAGAAGACCGACGACGACTATGATGGTGATTACTCCATTGATGACATCAGCAACGAAGCCTCACACAACGGCATCGTCGCTGCACCGCTTGGTGGACCCGTGCCTCCCGGTGCTTTCGACCACGCCAAGGGTGGTGTTTCCACTACCAGCGCCACCGCCGCCTCCTCATCCGCCTCCTCCATGCATTTTTACTCCGTCGCCGGTGTTGCCTCCGCCGCTCTTGCCGCCGCCTTCTACTTCTAAATTTTCAATGCGGAGAGGTTGCGTCTTGCATGTAAACATGGATTCAACGTGCAAATATATAAAAATATATCTAACATCTTATTTTTAATTTTTATACTATATATATAGAGAGAGAATAGTTAATATTAAACTGGTAATTATTTAATTTCATTAAAAAATTTGAGTTTAAATTCAAGAGAAAAGCGTTTAAGATATTCAAATAATTTTTTTATAATAAGTTTATTCAATTTTAACATGATTGTAAAATATACACCTGTTCTAAAGAAATATTAAAGTGATTTCTCGTAATCATGAAAACCAGATTTTTTTTTCATTTTTTATTATTTTGTTAATCTGAAAGAAAAGTTGGTTTCGGAGAGAAAATTTTTATTTTTCATTTGATTTCTCTTATATTTTAAGTTTTTTTATTTATTTTCTTCTCATTTTTTCTCTGTACTAAACATGGGATAAATAAATAGCATCGGTACTTTTACTAATGCTGCCAAAATTGCTAAAGTAATGAATAACTCAAAATCAACTTAGAAGATTAAAAGGGTTATTCTAGCTTTAAGATCTTGAGAGTAATTATATTTTTCTTGGAATCAAATATCCTTATTTTGTTTTGCATTGCAGGGAGTAATATGGATATTGATCTATTTTGCATCTTGATCACAAAATAATCTTAGTGATATTTATTATACCTTTTAAAATACTTTTGATCACTTCTAAAATTAAAGGGTAAACAATTTTTTATTTTCCCATAATAAATGTATTTTCATTTGAATTTTTTAATCAATATTTTTTGGTCCATCCTTAATTTAATGTTCTAAAATACCAAATTAAGATTAATTAGGGAAAACACAAATTTGTATGGTATGAATCTTGAGTGAATTGAACATTGTTTACTAGATTAATGTTCCGGCAATAATTGTACATTTTTTTTAAAACATCAATCGATGCCCTCGTTGGTTTCTACAAATAGATTCGTACGAAAAAATTTGATGATTTTAGAAAGGAGAAAACGTGCATGATAAGTTTGGTTTTTTTTTCCTCATAAATATTTGGTGAAAACTTTAGTCAAATGTTGCACCAAACACATTCCCAAATGTTGTTGTTAAAATAGCATGTGGTTTATATTAAAGGCAGTTAGTAATAAACAGTATTGTTTGATTAACATTTCATATTTCTCAAAATATCTTTTGAACTTTAAATAATTAAAAATAGAAATATAAGAGTTTTGATAGAATTAGGAAACAACTCTCATACAGATAATTAACTTTTTCAGTCCCTTAATAATATGTACAAACAGGGATAACTCAGAAAAATACTCCTGATTCTCTATAACCTTCTATGAAACATAATAAACAAGAACAATCCTTCGACTTTAAAAACTAAATTTTAGGACAATAATGCAATGTATAATATTAATATATTTCATTCCTAATACAATAAAAAAGTTAAAATTTTAGTATAAAGGTTATTTATATATTAGTATTAATTTTTATTTTAATAAACTCGTAATGTTTACTAAAAATGAAATATATATTTAATAATTTTATTAAAGAAATTAAGAGAATTAAAATTTCTATATTAAAAATTATAATTTTTAATGTACTAAATATGAAATATGTTATTATTTATTATACTGAATTAAATTTTATAAAAATAGAATAGAAGGCCTAAGCAACAAAAGCTTAATGTCGACTTTGAATTATATTGTCTACTTACTCTACTTTTAGAATATATTAATATACAATATATTTGATATTTTAAAATGTATTTGGAGCATAAGATAATACCAAAAATTTAATAAAAAATGTAGACTCATCAACATGCTTGCAGAAAGAAAATATAATTATGGTTTAAAAACATTGTTTTCCTTGTAGTTTGAAAATTTTGCATATGATTCTTGTTAAAAAAATTCATCCATTTTATCCTTTGATAATATTTTGATTTTGCTCTGTGCTTGCTTGTGTATTGGTAGTTGTCCTTTAATTAAAATTTATGTTTCTTTTTCTTTTGATCTTAATAAAACTTTACATTTTTTTTAAAAGAAATCCATGTATTCTTCACTTAATTTTAAAAGGTTGACGATACACTACAGTTAATATATGTAATTTTTTAAATTATTATTAAAAAATAAAACAATTTGAGATAAAAAAAAACAATCAACGTCAATGATTAAACTTTTTTTTTTCTTAAAAACTATTTTTTTTAGAAAAAAAATACATGTATCATTTCTATCAATTTTCTATGTTTGATCATTTATATGAAAATTTTAATAAAACAAGGTATATATTCAATAAAACAAGACCTGAAAATTCTAACTGAAACAAGAATAAAATAGTCTAAAAAAACACAAAATAGATCAAATTAAGTCATTCACATAATCACTTAAAAAAATCACTTAAAAGATGTCAATAAAACTATGAAAAATCAAAGTGGAAAAAAATTATTGAGAATAAAAAACTAAATATAAAAAATCATTAACTACCAAAAAAGAAAATAAACCTGAAATAAGAATTCAATTGAGAACCACAAATTTACAGACCTTTATTAGACTTACTATATTAAAAAAATGTAGAGAGAATAATTTTACATCTAAAGTACATGACAAATCGCCAATAGTTAATGTGACAAAATTATTTCTAGTTTTGATAATCAGTAAAATAAAGAAATACAAATTATACAATATGTACCAAAAAAGATTGCAAAATTATATGATTACTGTAAATACAAATCTAACCTGCACTGGTGCTTATTACAATTCAACAAAAACGAATTTGACTTGTCAGCTAAAAAATGACTTGATGGAATTATGAGTCCCAACAATGAATGACAAAAAA